AGTGTGGGTTGTCCCTTGGCTGGCTGGGGGATCGAACTCATGCTACAGAGGCTGCGGATTGCTTTATAGTGTGGTGCTTAAACCCTTGCGCCCCCAGGGAGGCCCCTCTTCTAGGCCATTTGAAGAGGAGCCACTGGGGCTTTAAGACATGGGAATGATCCTTCAGTGTAGGGATTGGGTTTCTGGCCAGTGGGAGTGGAGCAGGAAGAGAACATTTAAGAGAAATTTGCTTCAGGTCAGTGTATGGAGCACTCTTTTCCTTGATCACAGTCTTCTCTTGCCTGCACAGTGTTCTTCCTTGTCCTGTCCCCACCTCTATGCTCAGCCCCTCCATCATGTCATCTCTAACCCCTCTTCCTCCTCCAGCCCCGTAAATGTTACTGCCTCCCAGAATGTTTTTATTTTGTGTGTGTGTGTGTGTGTGTGTGTGTGTGTGTGTGTGTGCTGGGTATAGTGTACTTTATCAATGGCACCTGACAAGGCAGGGCTCCCTAAGCCCTTCCCCATCTCCGAGCACTCTAGGATGGCACTGTGACAGGTCGGGCGAGTCTCATTGTGTTGGATGACTAGGGGAAGGACTTCCCAGAAGCTGAGGACCCAAGGGGCTCTTACTCCTCGGAGGCCACGTGGACCATGAGGTCCACCATCTGTTGCTCTAATGAAATTCATTGTTATACCAGGAAAGGAAATGAGCTCAGCAAAGTGGTCACTGAGCGTGATGCCAGCTCCTGCATTGAAGGCAGAGGAACAGGTGTCACTCTTAAAATCGCAGGAGCCAACCTGGTCTGCAGTGTAACCCAGGATGCTCTTGAGGGGGCCCTATGATGCCTGCTTCACCACTTTCTTGATGTCATCATTATTTGGCAGCTTTCTCCGGGTGACAGGTCAGATCCACAACCTTCAGCACATTGAGAGCAGGAACCTAGAAAGCTGTGCCAGTGAGTGTCGTGTTCAGCTTGGGGATGACTTGCTCATAGCCTTGGCAGCGCGAGCAGAGTCAGGGATGATGTTCTGGGCAACCCCTTGAGCATCACAGCACAGCTCCCCAGAGGGGCTGTCCACAGTCTTCTGGGGAGCAGTGATGGCACAGTTGTCATGAGTCCCTCCATGATGCCAAAGTTGTCACGGATGACCTTGGCCAAGGGAGCCAAACAGCCGATGGGGCAGGAGGGTTGCTGACAATCTTGAGGGAGTTTTATACTTACCATGGTTCACCCCAATCATAAATGTGGGGACATCAGCAGAAGAGGCAGAGATGATGGCTCTTTTGGCCCCAGCCCTCAAGTGTCCCTCAGCCTTCTCCAAGGTAGTGAAGACAGCAGTGGACTCCACAACATATTCAGTACCAGCATCAGCCCATTTGATGTTGGTGGGGTCTTGATGTTGGAAAATAAAGATAGACTTTCCGGTGATGACAAGCTTCCCTTTCTCAGCTGTGACTGTGCCATTGAACTTGCCCTGGGTGGAATGATACATGTAGACCATGTAATTGAAGTCAATGAAGGAGTCATCAATGGCAACAATATCAACTTTGCCAGAATTAAAAGCAGCCCTGGTGACTAGACACCCAATCTGGGCATATCCATTCACTCTGACCTTCACCTTCACCATGGTGTCTGAGGGACATGATGGTGCTGCACAAGAAGAAGGGGCTGTCTGTCAGCTGAGAGGCACAAAGGGCACAGAGTGGATTTTTTTTAACTCCCTATTTTATTTCAGTTTTGAGTTATCTGTTAGTGATGCCATTTATGTCCCAACTTCACTTTCTATCTATGTGCTCATGATTCTCAAAATTTATTTCTCCAATCCAATCCTTTTTTTTCAAGCTATAAACTATCTACTAGACATTTCTTTTTTCTTTTTTTTTTAAAGATTTATTTATTTATTTATTCATTTATTTATTTATACAAGCATTGGGTACAGTCAGAAGTGCGGGAGGGTGAGAGAATTCACCAGAGCCAGAGCGGGGAGCAGAGCAGGCAGAAGGACCGAAGTACGCTGCTGAGGGGAGCAGCGGGCGGCAGGAGAGGTCTGCGCGCCATGTGGGACCCTCCTCCGGTGGCCGGTGGCCGGGGAGCAGCCGGGGATCGAACTGGCGCTGCAGAGGCCGCGGGCAGCTTCGTAACCCAGCGCTCAACCGCTGCGCCACCGGGGAGGCCCCTAGACATTTCTTTTTGATGGTTTCATAATCCAGCAAAATCCAGCATGTTCAAAATGGAGTTATTAACTTAACTTTTTGAATGTACCCTTTTCTCTCACCTTCAGAATCTTTTTTTAAATGATCCAAACATATTTTTTAATATATTTATTACATCAGCCGTCATTTTTGTACAATGTATGATTTCCCATGAAATTCGCACCACCAATTCACCGTGCACCATCACCATCATCCCTTGTGCTCTTCCCACCCCATCCTGATCCCTCTCCCTCCTCCTCCCCTACAGAATGTCTCTGGTCTATGGTTGCCTGTTGATTCTGATTTTTACTTTATTATAGTTATTTTTTTTCTGATCCCTTATTTGGTTCTACTGCATTCCTCTTATAAGTGAAACTATCCGATATTTTCCTTTTTCTTTCTGGCTTATTTCACTGAGCATAATCCCTTCCAACTCCATCCATGTTGCTATGAATGGCATGAGTCTATCCTTTTTAATTGCTGAATAATATTCCATTGTGTACATATACCACATCTTCTTGATCCAATCATTTTTTTTGCTGGCATTTGGGTTGTTTCCATAGCTTACCTATTCTAACTAGTGCTGCAATAAACATAGGAGTGCAGATGTCCTTTTGAATTAATGTTAATGTGTCCTTTGGGTAAATACCTAGGAGTGGAACTGCTGGATCATATGGAAGCTCCATCTTTAGCAGGTTGAGTAATAGCCACACAGCTCTCCATAGTGGTTGGACCAGTTTGCACTCACACCAGCAGTGCAGGAGAGTTCCTTTTTCTCCACATCCTCGATAACATTTGCTGTTGCTAGTTTTTTTGATATGTGCCATTCTCACTGGTATAAGATGGTATCTAATGGTGGTTTTGATTTGCATTTCCCTGATTACGAGTGGTGTTGACCATTTTTCATATGCCTGTTGGCCATTTGCATTTCCTCTTTGAAGAAGTGTCTTTTTAGCTCTTCTGCCCATTTTTTGTCTGGGTTGTTTACTTTGTTTTTGTTGAGTTTCATCAGCTCTTTGTAGATCTTTGTGATCAGTCCCTTATCACTAGCACTGTGTGCAAAAAATTTTCTCCCAATCAATGGGCTGTGTCTTTGTTTTAGTTAATGCCTCTTTTGCTGTACAGAAGATCTTTAATTTGATGTAGTCCCAGCTGTTTATCCTTTCCTTCACTATCTTTGCTTTGGGTGATGTGTCTGTAAAGATGTTATTGAGGTGTATGTCATGTAGTGTTTTGCCTATTTTTTCTTCTATATCTTTTATGGTTTCAGGTCTTATGTCTAGGTCTCTAATCCATTTTGAGTTGGTTTTTGTGCATGCTGTGAGGTAGTAGTCTAGCTTCATTTTTTTTCATGTAGCAGTCCAGTTTTCCTAGCACCATTTATTGAACACACTGGCTTTGTTTCATTGCATATTCTTTGCTCCTTTGTCAAAGATTAGTTGTCCATAAGTCTGTGGGTTTATTTCTGGGTTTTCTACTTGATCCCAGTGGTCTGTGTGTCTGTTTTTGTTCCAGTACCATGCAGTTTTAATTATTATGGCTTTGTAGTATCATTTGAAGTCTGAGAGTGTGATACCTCCATTCCTCTTCTTTTTAGTCAGAAGAGTTTTGGCTATTCGAGGTTTTTTGTGGCTCCATATGAATTTCTGAATCTTTTATTTAAGATTTATTTATTTATGCATATAAGAACTGGGGTATAGGCCAGAGGTGCAGGAGGTGAGAGATTCACCAGAGACAGAGTGGGGAGCAGAACAGGTGGATTATTGACTGAAATTGCACTGCTGAGAGGAGCAGCGGGCAAGACAGGAGAGGTCTGCTGTGCCATGTGGGTCACCTCCCTGGCCAGGGATTGAACTCATGCTGCAGTAGTTGTGGATAGCTTCACAGTGCTGACACTTAATCCTTGCGCCACCAGGGAAGCCCCTGAATTTCAGAATCTTGATGAACCATATTGCTGTCCATCCATGTGTCTGACTCAGAAACTGGGTATTACTTTAGACTCCTGACTCTTGGCAACTTTTCTCTTTAGGAATTAGGTTTCCATGTTAGGAATTCAGGGTAGGGTTTTGGTTCTCTGTGCTGCAATATATCTGGGGCCCAGAAAGTCTCAATTTCTGCCTTCTCAAATCACTTAACTCCCTGTGTAGATGATTTCAATGATCTCACCATCAGCCAAATAGGATATCACCTTCAGAGCATTAAATGTAAGGTCTTTATTGATCTGGCTTCTGTTCCCTTTCCATCCTCACCTGCTGTGATTTTTTTCTACAGCCTGAGTGCAGCTATACAAAGCTGCTTGAAATCCCTAAATGTGCCATCTTGTGTTAGGACTCTGGGCCTTGGTATATACTATTCCTTCTGTTTGGACTGTCTTTCCTTACTGGGCTTGTCATGAATGTGAAGCTTTTCACACACCCTTTTTCACAATGCTATGCCCTAATTACTAGTTTATGTGCCTTGTCCTCAGAGAATGCTTCGCTTCCGAGGCACAGAAAGAACCCATTCATTTTTGTATCTTCATGGTCTGGCACATTGCAATGCTCTAAAAGTATATTCAGCAAATTTTTCTCTTTCTGGTCTTATGTTAGGATTATCTGAGGTTAGTTGCAAATTACTGAAATAAATATTTGGGAAGAAAGAATACAATGTAAAGTTTTTTTTTTTTTTTTTTTTTTTTAGAGTACAAGTGGGTTTATTTGGCTCCAGGAGGAGCAATGGCACCCAGCTCTCAGGCAACACCCTCACTCTATACAGGCTTAACTCAGCCCAAGGCCCACCGGCTCCTTCAATTTGAGGGTCCACACAGTGCTCCTCTTCTGGGTTGGGGATAGCTAGCTGCCAGATGGTGAATTTCCCGGTTGTTCAGCAGCAACGCCAGGCACAGCTGAAGCAGCCTCGTAGTCTGCGATGCGGCGCTGTACCAAGGCCGGCATGAGCTGCACGTAAGCGGCCATGAGGCGGTGGTTGGAGTGGATCAGTTTCCCAGCACAACTGTGCAAACAGGCCTCCTCCTCCGCGTCCAGAGCTCGGTGGTGCAGGCTGGGCACGCAGCGCTGGAAGCAGAGTTCCGTCATGCGATTGTAGACCAACAGGAAGTCCCGCAAGTTTCTCAGCTGCTGCTGCTGCTGCTGCTCCATCATGCCACCGGCGCTACAATGTAAAGTTTTATGTATTCTGTGTCTTCTGCTATTTTTGGTATCTTCTATTTTGACTGGAACTACTCCAGAAGGAAGTATTTACATAGGGAACATTTTAAATAAAAGTTGCATATGTTCTCAGTCCTGGTCCTTGAACCTACAAAGAACTGTCCATCTACAAATCTTTTTTGGGGGGGCTTTCTGGTGAAGGGGTTAAGTCTCGGCTCTATCACCGTGACGGCCTGGCCTTGAGTTTGATTCCCAGCTAGGGAGCTAACCGCATATGGCGCAGCAGACCTCTCCTGTCTCACCCTCTGCTACCCTCAGCAGTGTATTTCAGTAAATCTGCCTGCACTGTTCCTCACTCTGTCTCAGGTGAATCTTCTCATGCCCTGAAACTCTGACCTATATCCCCGTTCTTCTATGCAAAAATAAATAAAATCTTTTAAAAAAAAATTCTTTTTGGGTCAAGCTTCAAGTTTCAATCTTACTACCTTCTGCTCATTTTCCAAATATGTATAGGTTTCCTTGATTCTAAAACAAAAATAATAAAAGCCTGTCCTCAACATGGCTGTTTATTCTTCAAACTCATTTCCCATCTCTTTCTTTCTTTCTTTCTTTCTTTCTTTCTTTCTTTCTTTCTTCTTTCTTTCTTTTCTTTCTTTCTTTCTTTCTTTCTTTCTTTCTTTCCTTTCTTTCCTTTCTTTCCTTTCTTTCCTTTCTTTCCTTTCTTCTTTCTTTCCTTTCTTTCCTTTCCTTTCTTTCCTTTCCTTTCTTCCTTTCTTTCCTTTTCCTTTCTTCCTTTCTTTCCTTTCTTTCCTTTCTTTCCTTTCTTTCCTTTCTTTCCTTTCTTTCCTTTCTTTCCTTTCTTTCCTTTCTTCCTTTCTTTCCTTTCTTTCCTTTCTTCCTTTTTCCTTTCTTTCCTTCTTTCCTTTCTTTCCTTTCTTTCTTTCCTTCTTTCCTTTCTTTTCTTTCCTTTCTTTCCTTTCTTCTTTCTTTCTTTCTTTCTTTCTTTCTTTCTTTCTTTCTTTCTTTCTTTCTTCTTTCTTTCTTTCTTTCTTTCTTTCTTTCTTACTAAATTTTATTTCTCAACACCAAAGACACAACATAGAAAATAATAAGAAATCCTCAAATCAAATTTTGCTTTGGCAGTTCTAGGACTAATACTATAATAGAGTCAGTCTTCAAATCTCTCATAGCTCTTTCTAGTATCCTAAAAATCATTTGATAGTTGTGTGTTTCTTTTTTTTTTTTTAAATAATAAATTTTATTTTTATATTCCCCATACAATTGCAACCCCCCCATTCTGACCCCAATCCCTCCCCTCCCGCCCCCCACCCCCCAAAAAGTGTCTCTGGTTCATAGTTTTTTGTTGATTTTGATTTTCACTTTCTTGTAGTTATTCATTTTCCTGGTCCCTTATTTAAGTTTTCTAGATTCCTGCTATGAGTGAGACCATCTGGTATTTTTCTTTTTCTTTCTGGCTTATTTCGCTGAGCATGATCCCTTCCAGCGCCATCCATGTTGCTGCAAATTGCATGTGTTTATCTTTTTTGAATGCTGAGTAATATTCCATGGTGTATATGTACCACATCTTCTTGATCCAGTCATCTATTTTTGGGCATTTGGGCTGTTTCCAAAGCTTAGCGTTTCCCATCCTTTTAAAAAAGAGTTGTTTATGTTTGGTCCTTTCGTTTGTCCATCTACCCAATTAGACCCCTGGAATCTGACTTAGATCATTATCATCATCATCAAAAAGCTTTTCTTCAGGGCCTCCTGGGTGGCGCAGCAGTTGAGCGCTGGGTTGCGAAGCTGCCCACAGCCTCTGCAGCGCTGGTTCGATCCCCGGCTACTCCCCGGCCACTGGAGGAGGGTCCCGCATAGCGCGCAGACCTCTCCTGCCGCCCGCTGCTCCCCTCAGCAGTGTACTTCGGTCCTTCTGCCTGCTCTGCTCCCTGCTCTGGCTCTGGTGAATTCTCTCACCCTCCTGTGCTTCTGACTGTACCCAGTGCTTGTATAAATATAAATAAATAAACAAATACATAAAAAATATTAAAAAAAAAAAAAAGCTTTTCTTCAAAGGTCTCTAGCAACCTCCAGGTCCACCTCTGTCTGAGTTTAAAATAAAAAATCATGGGCCTCCCTGGTGGTACAAGGGGTTAAGATGTAACTTATGAAGCTATCTGTAGCCACTGCAGCATGAGTTTGATCCCCTACCAGGGATATACCTATATGGTGCAGCAGACCTCTCCTGGCTCGCCCGCTGCTCCCCTTAACAGTGTATTTCAGTCAATCTGCCTGTTCTGTTCCCCACTCTGTCTCTGGTGAATCCTCTCACTCCCTGCACCTCTGGCCTGTACCCCAGTTCTTGTATGCATAAATAAATAAATCTTTAAAAAATTTCTAAAAATCCACACATATGTACACTTTAAATATATGACTTAGTGAAATAGTCAAAATGATCTCTAAATGAAGAATGAATGAAATGGAGGAATAGGTATTTTTGTGAGAATGAGGGGGAGATCAGAAATGTAAAAGAATAAAAATGTAGTCTATAAAAATTCAACGCCTTAATTTTTGTGCGTGTGAAGCAAACGGTAAAATGAAATAAAGAACTATCTAGAACAACTACCACTTCCTTTTGTGTATAGCACAAAATTCAAAGTGTGTGTGCGTGTGTGTGTGTGTGTCTGTACGTGTGTGCACGTGTGTATGGTATAACTTACTTGGGAGTTACTCTGATTTCCTCTTTTATTTTCCAGGAGTATTTTGAAAACAATCGCCCTGGGTCAGATGCTATCCTTGTGTATCTGTGGGACAGCCATCACCAGCCAGTATTTGGCAGAAAGATACAAAGTGAACACGCCCATGCTTCAGAGTTTTATCAACTATTGTTTGCTGTTTCTAGTTTACACAATGATGCTGGCCTTTCAATCAGGTATGTCCAATGTAGGAATTACCTTTTCAGAAAAGTCACAAAAATGTTTGGCTTCTAGTTATTAAAAAATAAATCTATTTTTTAGAGCAGGAAACTATTGCTGTTTTTATAAGTTATTGGAAAAGTCTGATACCTTCGAATCCTATGACAGTAGTGACTAGAGATTTATGCCCAACTCTCTGAAATTCTTGATTAAATTAAGCAGTGCCAAGATGTAGTGGTAGAAGTTACCCCCAAAAAAGTGTAAATGCCATTACAAATTAGGTTTTATTCTTTTTTTTTTCTTTGTGGTTAATACAATTGAAAGACAATATTAAAAATCAAGAACCTCATTCCGCAAGATGTATCCTTCCAGCTAAGTAGAGGATGCTAAATGGAGCATCAATTGCATGTAGGTAAAGTCAATATTATGAGAGAAACAAAGACAAGGAATTGGCCAGAAATTAACATCTTTATCACTGCCTGATTAAGTTGTTTTAGAATTATTGCTTCTAGTTAGCTACACAAAATTGTGAAAAACTAGGTCCTGACAAACATTTTTGTGTCAGGCTTTATTTTAGTGTCCTAACTCATTAGGTTATGTATTAACTCACTGAAGCCTTCTAAAAGCTCAAGCCCCCTGCTTTACAGGTGAGGAAACTGAGGCATACAGCACTTAGCTAATTTGCTCTAAGTCATAGAGGTAGTAACTGAGGGAGCTGAATTCAGCGCAGGCAGCTGCTGCCGAGCCCATGCTCTCACAATGGGCAATCCAAGATGATTAGGAGGGTCCAGTACTTTCATTTCATTATATTTAAGCTATATAATAATGTTACTAATGTGGTCTTTGCTAATCTTCTTTTAATAAAAACTTAATGTGCCAGTGATATTCCTATGTGTCAGGAAAGAAAATAGAAGTCAGTATGAGAGAGAGAAAAGCATCTGAGGGGGAAAACACCACATTTGGCAAAGGCTTTAGGATTTGGAAATAGAACTGTGATATGGGTAATAGACCTGGACTTGGCTCTTCTCTATAATTACTGGCCTTTTGGAAGCCAGTGTGACGCTAATACATTAGTGTGGTCCCTGATGGGCTGACTGCTAGGAGCCTTCTCACACCATCTCATGTTGAGGAAGACTAATTCTATGTTTCCAGGATATTCCCTCTAATTGGGTTTTAATAATATTTATTTGGTTATTATTCTCACTACCTTTATTTCCTTGTAGGTTATCTGACCATAAAGCATTCTTATATATGTACCAACTTGGAAACTCCTGTGGTGCTAGGTTCTCTGAATAACTGAATTGCGGTTATCTTAAATAAATAGAATTTGGGGGATAAAAGTGTTTCTTCAGTGGTACCAAAAGTCTTTCCCCCAAACTTATCACTGACTTAATTTTCACTTGAAAGTACAACTTTTGCAAAAGAATAACAACTTGCAGAATTTCCTTTAAAGTTGCCCACAAAAAAATCAATGAAGAATCAACCACCTTGAATGAAAAATTAAACCAGATGGACAGAGACATTTATAGAGCACCATATCTCAAAAAGCTGAGTTCATATTTGTCTCAAGTGTACATGGAACATTCTTGAGTATAGATTACATGTTGGGTCACAAAACAACTATCAGTAAATTATGATGATCTTCTCTAGTCACAATGCTATCAAACTAGAAATCAACTACAAAAAGAAAGTTGAAAAAATGTCTAAAATATGGAGACTAAACAACATGCCACTGCATGACAGACCAATGGAATATAATTAAGAATCTCAAAAATAAATCACACTTAAATGGGCAGTTAATTAATGAGAAAAGGGGTCAAGACTATAAAAAGGAGAAAGGAAAGTCTCTTAAATAGATGGTGTTTGGGAAAACGGTACAGACACATGCAAAAGAATGAAACTAAACCACGACCTTCTACCATATAAAAAAGCTCAAAATGGATTGAAGAATAGGAATTAAGACCTGAAACCAGAAAATGCATGTCAGAAAATATAGGCAAAAAAATTCTGTGATGTAGGTTTCAGTGATGTCTTTGGGGATTTGATTACAATAAAAAGCAAAAATAAACAAATGGGACTACATCACCCTAAAAAGCTTCTGCACAGTGAAAGACACCATCAGGAAAACAAAAAACATTCTATCAAATGGGAGAAAATATTTGCACATCATATATGTGATAAGGGGCTAACATACAAGAGCTACAAAGAACTCATACAACTCAACAGCAAGAAAACAACCCAATTGAAAAATGGGCAGAACGTCTAAATAGACACTTCTCCATAGAAGACATACAGATGTCCAACAGGCACATGAAAAAATACTCATCACTCATCGTAAGTGAAATGCAAACCAAACCCACAATGAGATACCACCTTGCACCTATGAGGATGACCCATATCAACAAGATCAGAAACAGCAGGTGAGGCTGTGGAATAAAGGAACCCTGTGCGCTGTTTGTGGGAATGTAGACTGGTCCAGCCCCAATGGAAAACAATGTGGAGATTTCTCAAAATGCTAAAAATAGATCGGTCCTATGATCCAGCAATATGATCTACTTGTAGGTATCTATCCAAAGACCACAAAAACACTTAATTCAAAGGGATCTGTGTACTCCTATGTTCACCGCAATATTATTTACAATAGCCACGTTGTGGAAACAACCTAAATGCCCATGACAGATGAGTTGATATGGAAGATGTAATGTATATACACAATGAAAAGATATAAAAAAGATAACTCTTGCCATTTATGACAACATGGATGGAACTGGAGGGAATTACACTAAATAAGTCAGAAGGAAAAAGATAAATACCAGATGATTTCAGTCATGTGGAATATAAAGAAACAAAACAAAGGAACAAATAAAACTGACCCTAGAAGTGTGACTGCAGGGTTGAGGCTACCGGGACAGTGTGAGGGGGGAGGAGCAAAGCAGGGAGGGGGCCCCGTGGACTGTGGTAGAGGATTGTGGGTGCCTTGGTGGTGGATGTGGCATGATAGCATACATTTGTGGATGTGTGAACCAATATCCAACATATGCAGTATTGTAAATCAATGTTACCTCAATTAAAAAAGATACAATTTATAAGAAAATAAAGATGCCCACTCACAGGTGAAATTGCCAGTGAATTCATAAGAAAATGTTTCATTTCCTAGGATAATCTGTAGCTTGTCAGGATTGGTAACATCTAAACCTTTATCTGGATATAATAGTTCTGTTACAATGGGAAGGAGAATTGAATCGTTTTTTCACTCACTTTCTCTCTGGTGCTTTCATTGAACTCTTGGTCTATGATGACACCTTAGCTTGGGCTCATATTAGAAAAAAAACTGACTCTGCTGAGCTGAAGCAGGAATTTGGGTTTTAAGAAATGGAAATCAAGAGGGATCACATCTAAAATACATGGAAAACCCACAGTTTGTTAATCTCTCAAATAACATGCCTGGTATCAAGCAATCTGTACTAACCCAGATTTTTTTCAACCAGGCAGTGATAACCTTTTATACATCTTGAAAAGAAAATGGTGGAAGTACATCCTGCTGGGAATAGCAGACGTGGAAGCTAATTACCTGATAGTCAGAGCATACCAGTACACGACTCTAACCAGTGTCCAGGTAGGAGGGAGTCCTTTGACCACTTTGGAGCTTATAGCTTCAAGAGCAGAATGTGAACTCCTATGTGCTAACCTTATTTTATTGAAAACCTGTTCACTTGAAGAAAACCTAAACACAGGTGGATGCTGTTTTCCAGTGGAACATATGTGCTAATGAGTAAGGTTTACTGCAATTAGTGAAAATATATACAAGTTAATCAGTTCCCAAACTGCTAATGCTATAGCAGATTAGAGTAGTTTCTATCAAAATAAGCATAAATATTTAGTTGGCAATTGATGCAGTGATGTTGGCAAGAGTTCTGCTTTATGTGTTGTTCAAAGCCTGGCATATATAGAATGGATGTAACTTTGTGCTACAGAAAAGTTGGAGGTTTTACACACAGGCTATCAAGACAAAGGAGCGAATGGAAGGAACCTATTAGAAATTTTGGGTAGAGATGGTAGCTAAAGGTAAAATTTACATCCCTATTCCTTTATAAGGTTTATCCTTGCTGGGCTGAGAGAAAAATGTTCCTAAGTAGATGTACTTTTCAACTTTTGGTGGAGTGGAGGAAGACTGAATCAGTTATTTTAATGTTAGCAAGCTGTGGGCTGCATCTTAACACTGACAAATCATCCCTAACAACAAAATGGAGGTGAAAGTGAGATAGATACCAGGGCCAGGTTTAGACTTCACAGTTTAAAGAATTTATAACTTTTGATGCATCACTTTTCTCACTATAAAATAGCGACTTTCTTATTTGATCTCTAGATTTTGGGAACATAGAAAAACTATTTATTTCACATGGAAAGATAAAGGTTGATGAAAACTTAACATTTTTTTCCCAATATGAATATATATTAATTGTTATTATAAGCAGAATAAATTTTATTAAATTCTTTCCTTTCTGTAACATTGTGGTAAACATTGTTCTCAGCCAGCCTCTTGGTTTTTGATTGGCATGGTCATGACCGGTTGTGATATGAAATACTTATTAAGACTGATATTATAGGACGTGCAAAAAACCCCCAGAATTTCCTAAACATTAATGTCAGGACTAATTTAGAGGATGAAGTTCATCACAAATAAGATTGAGTGTACATTTAGCAATGGGTAATGAGGGTATAAGTATGTAGAAAGTCCCATTTTTGTAGTCACATTTACCCTTACAATCTAATGCACAATTTAACTATATTATAATTTCCAGAAACTCTGGTCTCTAATGAGCATCAGAAGTTTTGAATTGGTGCAAGGTCTATCACAGACCCATCACTTATAGTTGGGTTTTGGTGACTGAAGTTCATGTCTTATACCATTGCAAGTAACTTTTTAAAAATCCTGGCCTCATCAAAAAACCTAAGCATTAATTTGTCAAAAGTTAAGGTAGTTAAGGTCCTAGTGTAGAGTATGCAGACAGTCCCTGACTTACAATGATTCTTCATCTTCAGGTTTTTCTACATCATGATGTTGTGAAAGAAATAAATGTGCAATAGAAATTGCACTTTGAAGTTTGAATTAGGTCATTCTATTTTTCACTTTCAGTACATAGTCAATAAATTACATGAGCTGTCTACCACTTCATTAGAAAACAGGCTTGATGTTAGATGATTTCACCCATTTATAGGTTGATGGAAGTTTTCTGAGCACATTTAAGCTAGGCTAGACTCAGCTATGATGTTCGGTAGTTTAGGTGAATTAAATTCATTTCTGACTTAGTATATTTTCAATTTACAATGAGTTTACAGGGATGTATGTCAAGGAAGATCTGTACATAAGAAGAGCTTCAGCAATGAATGCTACCCCAAGGCCCAGGTGTCTGCATGTCTCCTCACTGTAGTGCCACATTTTCCTATTCCCTGCCTTAGTGTCTTATGTTGACCCATTTTTTCCAGAATGCAATTCTTTTTGAAGCCCTTGCTTCCTTCTCTAAGACCTCATCCAGTTTTACTTTCTCCTCTGTACTCTTTTGTATTTCCATAAAGTTGTTTTATACCCATGTCTCCCCTGCCTCTCATCCCTTAGCCCAGGGTCTTATTTTGTACCTGGGCTTACTGTGACTATACAATAATTTCAAAAGACTGAATAGGAAGAGTCTTGGAACTGAAAGCATCAAATGGAAGACTTCTGTCACTAAGAATACATTTTAAAGGGAAGATTTGATGTAGATAAGTGATTGAATGTAATAGCTATTAGCTGAGAAGCTGTGGAATATTAAAGTAGGAAGGGACCCCTGAGATCATTTAGTCTGATTGTTTCATTTTGTATTTTGACCCAGAGGGTGCCTGGCTGGAGATAACACACCTGGCAAATAGCAAGTCTGGGACTGAGGCTCAGGAGTTCTTACCCTGATGTAGGCATCCCTCCTATAGGGCCACTCATTTGCCCAACAAAATTGGCTAAAAAATAGGGCAAATTTAAGATTGATTTTTAAGGCACAGTTTGAAGAAGTAGGGAGTCATCTGTGATGATTTAAAAAATTTTTTTAAATTGAGGTAACATTGGTTTACAACATCGTGTATGATTTAGAGGTATAGGATCACCCCCTTCCTGTGTTGTTCCCTGATAATTTTTTTTTTTTTTTTGCTTTTCAAATTAAAGAATGTAGTTTAGACTATGTTAAGTCATTATGGCTGGATTCTGCTGGTGTCTTCCGGGACAGGCTATTATCATTTGCATCGTTTTATGGTTGTTTAGGCAGGCTCGATAAAGCACTTAGGAGATTAGAGTTCTGCCGCTGGAATAAATATCAAGGCAAGGTGCCCATCCTGCACATGGCCCAGGCTGGACCCGAGTGATGACACTGCAGAGAAAGGCAGTCAGTAAACAAGTGTGCACAGGATCAAGCAGGCTGCTGGAAATTTAGGGTCCTCTTCCAAGGCTAAATCGGTATAGATAACATTAGAGACAAAGCTGAAAAACAGGGTAAGCAATAAAACAGCATGAAACCACTGTTTTACTTGCATAAGGATCTTACTCACATAAGGAAAATATTTTATCCTTAGATGTACTTTACAAAATTTGGGAGTTTATGAATTGAATGTAGAAAATCTTTATCTTCCCATATTTTTTTAAACAATTTTGCTGTAATTTTGGCATTCTTAATTCCCTCACGTTTCACACTGGCAAGACCAGGGACGTAGCAGGGTCAGAAAATATAGGGGTGTATTTTTTGGACCCAATAGGTAACGGGGTGGAGGATCATATGATGGTGAGCAAGAGTAATTGCTGTGGGCAAGTATCTATCATTCTAGGTGAGGCTGGATGCTTTGTCAGGGAGAGGCTGACAGTACAGAGAGGCTCCCTCAGTACTCTGTTGTACCAAGTTTTCTGGCTGTGTGATTATATGATGTTTTTGTAGCTTTCTGTACGCTCCTGAGGGTCAGTTTGAATCTGTCTCATTCTGTATATTCCCAACTCCTACTGTGTGTCTCCCACATATGAGATGCTTATTAAGTATTTATTGACTGAGAATGGATGCATGCAGGAAGGAAGGTTTGTACTGGACTGACGGATAAACACAGGTGGGAGTATAGAGGTAAATTGCACAGATTCTAGAGGCAGACTCCCTGGCTTCAGCAACTGTATCTGTGATTTTGGGCAACTCATTTTGCCTTTCAGTACCTTTGTTTTCCTCATGTGTAAAATCAGGGTTGCAGTTCCAATCTCATGGAGTTGTTGTTCAGGATTTAATGAGTTAATCTATACAAAGCATGTAGTATAGGGCTGGCAATAGTAAATACTCAATAAATGCAGACACCATTACTGCTCAGCTACCACATCATTTTAGCCATGAGAAATGTATTCAGCTGTTTATTTCTCCTTCTATGCAGCTTCTGGACTGCTTTGGGATTCCTGTACTGATGGCTCTCTCGTGGTTTATTCTTTATGCAAGATACAGAGTGATCCACTTCATCGCTGTGGCCGTCTGTCTGTTGGGTGTAGGGACAATGGTTGGTGCAGATATATTAGCAGGGAGGGAAGACAATTCAGGTAAGAATGTGTTACTAGTTCCTGATTCAGTTAAAGAAAAAAGAAACCATGTCCTGGTTTATCATCTTTTACATTTTATTTCTAGATTTTCTTGCTCCTGATATATTGTAACTACTTCCACAAAGCTGTCTTTATGGTCTTAACTACCCATACAGTTCTAACCTTTTTTTGTGATACCAGTTTTATTTTGTCTCATGAGAGAAGTTTCTTTCTTTTTTTTTTAGATTTATTTATTTATGCATACAAGGCCAGAGGTGTGTGTGGGGGCTCTCACTAGAGACAGAGTGGGGAGCAGAACAGGCACATCTTCTGAAGTACATTGCTGAGGGGAGCAGTGGGCGAGACAGGAAAGGTCTGCTGCGCCATGTGGGTTGCTCCCTGGCCAGGGATTGAACTCATGCTGCAGTGGCTGTGGATAGCTTCATAGTGCTGTGTCTCAACCCTTTGTGCCACCAGGGAGGCCCTCATGAGAGAAGTTTCTTTATATTTGCATTATTTTTCTCTTGGCCCATTTAGATTAGTTACTGGAAAAGCTACTGTAGATTCTTGGTGTTTTTTTTTTTTTTTTTTTTTTTAATCAAAAAGAAGACTTTGTGTCTTCTGGGTACCAGATGAAAACACTGTGATGTTCTCTGGGTCAAAGTTCAGACAATGGAGAGAACAAATCTAAAGAAGTTCATTGAATTCACCCAATCTACAAGTGAGTCCAAAGTCTCCTTTAAGAGAACAAATAACCCGTTTATCTAGCTTCCTTCTCTGTAGATTTCCACTAATTCCCTTAAATAGAATCCATTCATTTCTCATGGCATAGAGTTGTTTTCATAGGCTTTATTTTATAGGATATACCACCATCTTCCACTGTTAGTCTTCTGAGGGCTCAAAATATGAGGCATCACAGCCAGAAAGTGAGAGACGAAGTGTTTGTAAACTTCTAGAAACCAGAACTTCTACTTCTGTAAATCTTATTTCAATGACCATGGGCCAGATAAGCTCTTGGAAACAGCTAGGGAAGCCCCCTATTGACAATATGTTCATCTTCCTACCTGTCTTCCTGCAGGGAGTGATGTGCTGATTGGGGATGTCCTGGTCCTTCTTGGGGCTTCTCTCTATGCAGTTTCTAATGTGTGCGAAGAATATATTGTGAAGAAGCTGAGCAGACAAGAGTTTTTAGGAATGGTGGGCTTGTTTGGAACAATTATCAGCGGCATACAGTTGTAAGATTCTAAAACTTTCCTTAAAAATCAAAGAAGCATGAGGTGACTGTTTTCCAACTACTAATAGTCATGACTTACTTGGCCTAAATTCACATTTTAAATCAGTGACCTTTCTCGATATCTATTAGAGGACTGTTGCAACATCATGAATGATGCCTTAGCATCTTAGATGAGAATTCCTGCTTATGATGTGGTGGTAGAGGCATAACTAGTAAGGACTTTCTTTTTCAATTATTTCCAGAAAATATTATCTTCCAAATCAGAGGGAAAAAATAATGTCATGCATCCCTCCTATCACTGACTGCTATTGAATGGCACTTCTAAGGGAGTCAAACATATGTTTATAGAATCCTTTGGTTTATAATAAAGATAAACCATTTTTGTCATTTTTATTTTTTTATTTTATTTTTTAAAAAGATTTTCTTTTCTTTTTTTTAAAAAGATTTATTTATTTACTTACACAAGCACTGGGTACAGTCAGAAGTGCGGGAGGGTGAGAGAATTCACCAGAGCTAGAACGGGGAACAGCACAGGCAGACTGACAAAATACACTGCTGAGGGGAGCAGCAGGTGCTGGCAGTAGAGGTCTGTGCACCATGTGGGACCCTTGCAGGTGGCCAGGAATCGAACTGGCACTGCAGAGGCTGCGGGCAGCTTCGCAGCCCAGCACTCAACCGCTCTGCCACCAGGGGAGGCCCCATTTTTGTCATTTTTAATAAAGATAGATATTTTTATATTCTAAGAACATTTCAGACCACAACACAATTTTTTACCTTTGCTGAAGTATAGCAACTAAAATGCTATAGTTTGTGAATCACTCTGTGACTTCTTGTTTTAATCTTAGATTGATTGTGGAATATAAGGATATTGCCAACATTCACTGGGACTGGAAAATTGGTAAGTATGTAAACTATAATTCTTTTCAGTGAGTATCCTTTCCCTGACAAATACACATGTCAAAAAAAGTACTTCTTTGTAGTAATATGTAGGCATTTTTATAAAATTACAGATAATTACACAGAGAGCTACAGTGGTTTTCATTGAACTTTTTTTTTCTGAGAATTTATAAATGAATCTCCATGGAAGTTAATTCTTAATTTGTTCTTCAGAAATAGCCTTTCTTTACTAGGAATTCTGAACAAGACTGACCTTTGGTCACAGTAACATACAATTAGTTCTGTATTTCAAGTCCTTGAACTTCTTGTGAAGATTGTCTACTTGATGAAATTTGTGAAGCATTAACCTGAGCAAGCTGAGGGCATGTAATCATCCACCACCATCCATTGCTCTTCTTACTGAGATTCCTAAGCAGCTGAACAAATAAACAATATAGTAGGAGAAAACAGTGGTGGGAGAGTTAGAAAAGATTGGAAGGAAATTATGTAGTGCATAAAATGTCATGAAATTCTTTCACCATGCTTGGATGATTTAATCCAATGAAAACTTAGATGGTCAGAGAGCACGTGTATGTGTTGGAGTATGGGGGTGAGACTGGAGAAGTGGATACAAAGCAGAGATACTGCTAAACAGCTGGCACCCACAAGACCAGCTTTTTCCTAAGAGGTTATATTGTGTTATCTGGGAGCATAGAAAGCACTGGAATGAGTGATTTGAACAAAAGATAATGGACTGTAACCGAGATTAAAATGCATATATTGTAAAAAAACAAAAAATAATGTAAAATATATTAAAGTAATAATTAAAAAAACGATAATGTACCTAACAGTTGCCTTGGATGCCCTAAAAATACTTTGAATCCAATTATACGTATTTTGTCTACTTAACCAGATAAAGCAAACAAAAGATAATCAGTGATTTTTCTTAATGGTGATTTTGCTTTTATTATCCTTTTATCATAAGCATTACTCTTTCGTGGGCAGGTGGATGAGGAGTGATAAGAGCTGTTAACTCAGTCACACTAGAAACAGTATTTTATGGCCTTGATCATCTAACACCCTGTTGGATTTCTGAAGTACTTTGTATATCTCCTGTGCAATGCTGACTGTTAACAAAGGGCTTTGAGTTTAGTATGTTAAAGGGTCAAGCAATTTTGTGTGACAGCCTTAAGTACCTTTGCCTTCTCATTTCTTCCTATAATAGATACTCCTTTTTTTCCCATAGCCCTGCTGTTTGTGGCATTTGCCCTCTGTATGTTTTGCCTGTACACCTTCATGCCACTCGTGATTAAAGTCACTAGTGCCACTTCTGTTAACCTGGGCATTCTGACAGCTGACCTCTACAGCCTTTTTTTTGGACTCTTTCTGTTTGGCTACAAGGTAAGATCATGTTCTTATAGTGTAAAAGAAGTAGCAGGTTTCTTCAGGATTTTATTTTATTATTTTTTTTTAATATTTTATTTTTTTTAATATTTATTTATTTATTTATACAAGCACTGGGTACAGTCAGAAGCGCGGGAGGGTGAGAGGATTCACCAGAGACAGAGCGGGGAGCAGAGCAGGCAGAAGGACCGAAGTACACTGCTGAGGGGAGCAGCGGGCGGCAGGAGAGGTCTGCGCGCCATGTGGGACCCTCCTCAGGTGGCCGGGGAGCAGCCGGGGATCGAACCGGTGCTGCTGAGGCAGCGGGCAGCTTCGCAGCCCAGCGCTCAACCGCTGCGCCACCAGGGGAGGCCCTCTTCAGGATTTTAGATTCAAAAATAAAACGACCTCATCTTCCTGGCAAGAATCTCATTGGATGGTCCTCACTTTTATTACTACTTTCCAATTAAAAAACTGGTTCACGAAAGAATTGTCCTCAGGTTTCTCTAAAGGGTGAAGTGCAGTGGGTGTTTCCTTTGGTGTGGTCCATCAGTGTATGCAAATACTAATGTATGTTGCCAGGTGATGAGCAAGAACTCCCTGCTCCCTCAAGTAGCTTTTCTGTTCACAGACAGAAAGTGTGGGGTGCCAGATGGAAGGGAAGGTGACGTGTGTGTTATACCCGCTGTGATTGGAATAGTTCCTTCTCTGACAGCAATTTTATATCTGGAAGGGACAGTAAAGGTAATTCAATCAAGTGCTTTTTCAGATTTATTCTCTGTATTATCACAGCAGTCACAAGTATAACCTACATCCATCAGTAGCAGCTCTTGTTACATGTAAGAATTCTCTAGGAGACAAGGAAAGCAAGAGAACGAATATGTAATTTGAAAAAAATAGCATCTCCAGAGAGTCTGATACACTCTCCCTTGAGAATTACAGATTGAACGATTGCATTTGAGAGGTGGGGAAATGAAAGAGGTTATACTTAGTTATGTGACTATCTTTAGCAGCTTGTTGGTGATAAAGTCAAGGCTGAATCTTACTTAATGGTCTTGTAATTCAGTCTCTTTCCACTGCACCTGTTTCCCTATTTGATTATTAATTTGAATATCTTATGTATCAGATTATCTTATGTATCTTGGTTATTAGAGATAATCAAACAAGTGGATTTTTTTTTTTGTATTTTATAGCTAATTTGAAAATTTGCATGATAACAGTTCTCATACTTTGGGATATCAGGACTCTTTTAAATGCTTAAAAATTAGTATGCCAGTCATTTCTAATTTATCATATTAGAAATTAAAACAGAAATTTAAAAAATATTAACTGAAAAACTGTTTTCTGAAATAAAAAATACTTAGTGAAAGGATGATAATGATTTCCATTTTTGAAAATCTCTAATGCACAACTGAATGGAAAATGATTGGATTCTCCTATTTGTTTCTTCATTCTGCTTTGTGATACCACAGTGTCATACAGCTCCTGGACTATTAAATTTGTGAGAGAGTGAAAATAGAAAAGGCAAATAGTGTAGTAGTAGTAGTATTACTGTAAGAAGTATTACTTACAGTGTTATTATTTTGGCCTTTATACCCTTGGAAAGGGCTTTAGAAGCCCTCACGTGTCAGACCACATTGCTGCCTTAGAAATTGTATTTCCTTACTCTACCTTCAGCAAATGCTTGCTATCTTTCCTTGTGGACCCACTTGCTCTCTTTCCCTGTGGTCATTTGGACAAATAGGATGTTGGCTGTTGCTTGGTAATTTTAGTTTTAGTCAGAGATATTAATTATATATTTTGTCCTTGTAAAATTTTGTGTCCAGGCAGAAATCTTTGGTACTGATTTACACTGTTCCCAGGAACTGGCCACTAACTCACAACACCTAGTTCAGTGGGTTCTCCGAAATTTCTGCTTAAGAAGCATAAACCTTTTTGCCTTGCAAGGTTATAAGTGACAAGAACAAGCTGTTAGCTTTGCAAACCTACTGGTTAGGTATTCCTGGACTAAGACTGAAAAGAGCATTTATAACCTTTTAGGTAACATCATTAAAAAGTAACAGATATCAAAGTGAATCAGAGAAGTGTTTCTGACAGGCTTAGTTAAATTTTTTTCTTCATTAAGAACCATTGCCAAGTCCTACAGTGGCCCTGGAAAAGTCAATTCAGTGGTACTGTGGTCGCGATTCACGCTGTCACCACAAGGGATGATGGTGTTTTTAGTCGCCATTCAAGAACAGTTGGCATGTACTCACACCCAGAGAAAGCCTGCTCAGTGGTGTAGCATATGGTAAATTCACCTATAATTTTAACCACAGTTACTGCTTTATCTTTACTAGTTTAACTTTTACTTTTCTCTCATAAGTAAACTAAAGCCCAAGGAGGAAATGTGGTTAAATAAATAAAACTCTGAAGTGAAAGTACACTTGTCACTACCTATTACAACTCCTTTAATGTAAATATTTGCTCCTTAACTGCCCATAATTTTAATATGAAAGAAATGTATGTAATATTTTTTGCCACGTAACTTTAAGCTATTGTTCTCAAAACTGGAACGTGCTCACTATAAATCCCTTCTCAATTCTTTTGCTTCACGTTTCTTTCTGACCATATCTAGAAGTTGTCTTTTTTTTTTTTTTAAAGATTTATTTATTTATTTATGCAAGCACTGTGTACAGTCAGAAGCACGGGAGGGTGAGAGAATTCACCAGAGCCAGAGCGGGGAGCAGAGCAGGCAGAAGGGCTGAAGTACACTGCTGAGGGGAGCAGCAGGTGGCAGGAGAGGTCTGCGCGCCATGTGGGACCCTCCTCCCGTGGCTGGGGAGCAGCCAGGGATCGAACTGGGGCTGCAGAAGCTGCGGGCAGCTTCACAACCCAGCGCTCAACCGCTGTGCCACCGGGGAGGCCCTAGAAGTTCAGTCTTAACTCATATCAGACTTTACTGTTGTTGGTCAAAGACCATTTCAAGACTTAAAGCTCAAAGACCAGATCTCCTGATATTCTGAATAAATTAGAGAGGTGGAAAATCTTCAGCGCATACAGAAGATACCTAGGCATTTTAGAAATAGTTTTTAAAGACAATCATAAGCCCAATATACCCCTACTTTTTTATTGTATCTAAAGTAACTCTGGCTCTGATTTTTTTGAAACAGTTAAAGAGGATTAAAAATTCCTACACTCTGCCTCCTCTGGAATTGGTCTTGAGTGAGCACAAGAAATTCCCTGTATAGATCCAGATACAATAGGGAGTATTTTAAAAAATAAAAAATGTGAACTCCTCTAACTTAGGAGAATTACTTCACTTGCTCCTATTCTCTCCCTTCTAGAAAGGACTCTGCATTTAATCACTTGTCTGCTGAAGAACAGAAATTCCTTCAGAGGGCTCCTTACCCGTGCTTGTCCTAATGAATATCGAAACCAGTGACCTCTTTGCACTTTCTGGGATGAAAAATCTTACTCTTTTCAGCTCTAAATATCTAATCTTCTCAGTCTACCATAAATTTTACCAAGTAACACTTGCCTAGAGATAAGATCATCTATTACATTTTAGCAAAGTGAATTTGTCTGCAACAGAAGGGCATGAGGGCCTGGGGACATACGCCTTCCCTTTCTTCTTAGGGCCCACACATGTCCCTCTGCTTCACATCCATCCAGTGGCCTGGACCTCTCTGGTCTTACTTGGGCTTGCTCAAGGGCACCTTGCTGAGCTTTTGTCCTCTCCACTAAGTGGGACTAAGTGCAAAGAGGGGTGAGCTGATCATCACAGAGAAAGGCAGAGTTGCCATTTCCTGAGGAGCCAGTGACCCAGTTGGTTGATGTGCCAGAGCCCGCGCATTGCCAGTATATGGGAGGGTTTTGGGTGGAGGGTTTTGGGCGTTGATATATCCCCTTAAGGCAGTTTTCAAAAAAAAAAAAAGACTACGAGAAGGTGACCCTGCAGGAATGATAGGTGAATGACCGCCGAGCAGATGCGTATGTGTGGGATCATAACTCATAGCTGTTCTCTCTCCCAGTTTTCAGGGCTCTACATCCTGTCCTTCACGGTCATCATGCTGGGGTTTATTCTGTACTGCTCCACCCCCACACGCACGGCAGAGCCGGCTGAGAGCAGCGTGCCAGCCGTCACCAGCATTGGGATCGACAACCTGGGACTAAAGCTGGAGGAGACCCTCCCGGACCCCCACTCTGCTGTTTTTTAGCTGGAAAAGAAGGTGCATGTGCGTGTGCTGAGGCCGCCTGGGAAACTGGGATGAAACAGAGCCTGCTGACTTTGGGAAGGGGGCTCTTGGAAATGATCAGACTTGGAGGGAAGGATCTATGGCTTTTGGACTGGATCCAGTGGTTAGATTTTACAAAGGAACACAAACTAACGTATCGAAGTAGAAATGCCAAATGGACTAGAAGCCGAGACCAGGATTGTGTGTGAGGACCAATACCTGTCAGTGTCAGGAAGACCAGGTGTGGGCGCCACTGGAGGTCCCAGGGCTCTGTGGGGAAGCAAGGCCTGAGACAGGCCGTCCAGGCTGGCAGGGTGGCCCCGAGGAGGGGCTGTCCAGGGTGGTCTGGGGGCAGGTTTCCTCAGTTGGAGACTTCTGGGTTTTGCCCTGCTGAGATGGTCATTGTCCTCACGGCCTTTGGGCTGCACTTGAGAAATCCTGAGCTGCCATAGAGAGATGAAACTTGAGTGCAGTAAATGGAACCCTTTCCCAACGGTTAAAGGAAGATACACTACTTCTTACCAGATATTTGCAATGTGCCATGAGATTTTTATGATACGTCTTCAGTGCATTGTGTTAATATATAGCATCATTATATCATGACCAACATGCCACTTTCCAAAAACTCTCTATATAAACTTTTTTTTTTTTTTTGGTGAAAAGAAACAGAGTAAGTGTTCGTATTAGAAAAAGATGTTAATTTCATGGAAATACATTTACTGTGTTTTCTTTGATTAACCAGTTTCCCCTATGGATTTTATATTGATTTAATATATTCAAGATTTCTTCATATCCAACTTTTCAGAATCGTGTCTTCTTTGAGGTGAGCAAACCTATCTACTTGAGGCTATGCTTGTGGATGGAGGGCAGTTCAGAGGGAGCTCACAGATCATTTGCAGGGGTAAACATTTTAAATTCTGAAATGCCATAAGGTTTTTTTTTTAAACTTTTTTTTTTTAAGATTTATTTATTTATTTAAGAACCGGAGTACAGGCCAGATGCGCGGGAGGGTGAGAGGATTCACCAGAGACAGAGCAGGGAACAGAACAGGCAGTCTGACAAAATACACTGCTGAGGGGAGCAGCGGGCGAGACAGGAAAGGTCTGCTGCACCATGAGGGATTCTCGCTGGCCGGCTGGGATCAAACCCACGCTGCAGAGGATGCGGACAGCTTCACAGCGTGGCACTCAACTGCCTGTGCCACCAGGGGAGGCCCTTAAACTTTTTTGAGTGATAAAAGCTTTCGTTCTCTGCTACCACTTAAAAGAATGTTTGGTTTTCACTCAGTACCATTATTAAGGACAGTCAGTGAATGGAAAGAGGTTCAAATGTTGGGCCTTTGGGGGAAGATTGGGTTTGATTAGCACATTTATTATTTCTTAAAATATCTTGCTTAAGAATAAGCCTGTATATGCAGGGAGATAGTGAAGAAGACACTCTGGAGTGACAACAACCCACATGTCTGGCAAGGCAGAGCTCAAATATCACCTCTTCTGTGAAGCCTTTCTCAGGCCATCTAGAGGAGTTTCCCCTTCTTAGGGGGCCCTCAGGGCCTTGTTCATGTCCTCCCTGGAGCACTTGCTGTTTATTGCCCCGCCTCATGACAGACTGAGCTTCTTCTAGGCTAACAGCAGTCTGTTTCTAGCCCTTTCCTTCTGTTACTTCTTGGGTGTTTATTAAATAGAATTTGTTTTGAATCTAGAATTTGTTCAGAATCTAGAAGGGGAGACTGACCTAAAGTAAGACCTTTTCTGCAGATTCCTGTGGGTGTTTAGCCACCGTACCTTGCTCTATTTTTCTACCCAGATCCCTCATCTGAGTGTTCCCCTGTTGGCATCCCTTTGGAGAAAGGCAAAGAACCTCCAATTGGGGAATCCCAAGATAAAGACTCAGAACTCACTGTTCCAAAGAAGCCATGCAGTGATTCAATAACAGTACTTCAAGGCTGTGCATCCTGGTTTAATAGGTGTGCAGACTGGGATTTTAACCAGCTTGAATAAATGCTCTTGATGTAGAATAAGTGTCTTCAAACATTTGATTTACACACAAGATTTTTAAACACAACATATTCTTAAGTTGAGAACCTCCTGTAAATCCTTTTTCAGTTTATCACAACAATATTTATTTTTTAATGTTTTCTGGTAGCTATTCATGTCTTAAAAAATTCCCACAGAATAGTATCACAGAGTTGCTGGGTTGTAGTAAACTGTGCACCTGGACTATGGTGACTTTTTAAAGGGCTTTATTGGTGCCATTTTCACTATTTGCATTTGCATTTTTGGGGTCAGATAGTTGCCATTTCCCATCAGAGTAGCACAGAGAAACGCTATGTATTATCAGCGGCCTTTCCAGTAGGTGGCGCTTTAATAATTAGAACAACCTAAAGACTTGTGACATAAACACTTTCATTTTATAGACCTCCATAATGTCCTGTTAATCAAAGTATTTTGTTTTTTAAAAGGTTGTTATGAAGACTGTTTCTGCAGCCTTTTATTAACAGTAGAAGAATCAAGGCCTCAAGATCTATACAGATCTCACAGTGTTTGGTGGCTAAAGTGAAAATGGAGTCCATAATTCCTTTCAGGTTAACCAGCAACATAAAGTCCTCACTTTTAGAAACAGTGAATCCTGAGGTGGCTATAGTTCCTGTGGAACTGCTGGGCCAGTGAATGTGAATGCATTTCTACTAGAGGTGCTGGAAAGATTTTTGTGTAAAGCTAGCTTGCTAGTTCAGTTTTCTCTGCACCTCTGGCACCTGGCCTGTCTACATTTGTCTTTTATGTATGCCCCGTCACGATTCTCTTCTCTATCATTATTATGGTGATGTGCCATTTTCAACCACATTTAATTACTTAGTATCTAGACATCCTCAGCCCTCAAAATATATCAATAAATCAGGGAAATTCAGCAGATAGCCACTTAGCTGATTAAAAGGCAAGAGATTTATGAGGAAATTAGGTAATGCTGAACATGCAGTTCTCCAATAGTCTCATGAAGGGTGTCGGGGGAAGTCTGGCAATAGACAGATAGTATATCAAGAGAGCAAAGCCTCTTCAAAACGACAACATTTTACCTGTAGGATTTAATGTCTCCAAATTTCTTCTCCCAATGCTTTTACCACGTACTTCATTCCTTGCTTTAAACTTTGCCCTCTCTTAGCAACCTTAATTTAAAATGCAGATTTTGGGGGAGAAGGAAATTTAGATTGAGAGGGGATGAAAATAAATACCAGTAAAAAAAGCTTGTAGGCTGTTTGAGCATTGATTTCCTGCAACTAACCATGGTAAGTGTTTAGATGGTGCCAGCAGCTCATTATGCAATCAGTTATTACAACCCTGTCCAGTGGGGAAGCCAGAGTCTTACACAGGGGTGATGCAGAGGACTTGACATGGATTACCTGGAGTTTCTATGTAAAGTCCCACTTTCCCTGACCTCTGATTTTTTTGCCTCAGTACCTATGTTTTTCTACTTTGCCAAGTATTTCATATTCTTTCAGGTTCCTATTCTGACATTGGCCTTATGATCCCATGTGGGACCTTATCTACCTTGGTCTTCATGTGAAGTCTGCTTATACAGTACATGCACATTTACATGGGACACACACACATGCCACACACGCCACACACACCATGATCAATTGCTTACTGCATCCCACACCCATCTTATTTCCCCTAAAATTGCTGTTTTGGTAAGATTATTATGGCAGCTTCAGGGAATCCACCCCCAACTCTGACACACTTCTACACATTTCTGAAGAGCTGCATTTCCACAGGCATCTGTTGGACTGAGAGTATTTAGTACCTTTTCTTGGACACAAGTACTGTACAGCATTTGTTAGTCTCTACCACCGGTTTGGAGGATTAGACAGCAGGTGGAGCGCCAACACTTGATTTCTGATCTGCTAAAGTATAGACACTGAAGTGTAGACATGGCAGACCAGGAACAGGGGAGTATGACTTGGTTGAGAGCCTCCCTTGACTGGTGACAACGGAAGACTCCTGAATGTTCTTCAGTTATGATGTAGGAACATGGTTCAAGTTCACACCTCATTACTCTTAGAGCCTGACTGACTGTTTTTACCTACCCAATATCATGATATGTCACTACTCACACAAACTTAGTCAACAAGTCTCCTCCCTGACTTATGCTCACACACTGGGTGGATTCTACCTCCACATACTTTACACGCAGTTCTTCTTAGACAGAATTCCTCTTTCTCCTTGTCTCTGTGTGTTTAGCATTTACTTCATTCTCCAAGATTCAGCCCACACTCATGTCCTTAGTCCTAGTGATGGATCCCCTAGACCTTTCTCCCTCTTCCCATCTAGACCCACTTAGCTCACATGCTTTCTCCAGTGAGAACACACTGCACCCCTCAGATGTGTGTGGGGGTTGAACAGGGAAGTCAGACAACACTTAAGTTATAAAGGGCGGAGAGGTTCATTCCAAGAGATCTTAGAAATGCAAAATACTCAACTACGTCACACATACTTTGGTGATACATTTTCAGAAGTTTTTAAGCATTTTGTGTACATTCTTTTTCCTTCATGACTTAATAATCAAGTGATCCTGACTGAGGTCATACATGGGTGACTTTCCTGATTTCTATTTTTTAGAAAACAGAAACAGTTTTCATTTTTGTTAAGTGTATAACAAAAATTATACTCATTGTACTCACTCCTTTTTGTAAAATAAGATGCACAAGATGAGATAAAATAGTTAAACAGTTACATAAACACCAGTTATTCAGAGGGCTAATGCTGGGATTAAAAAGTGACTGGCTGGGCCTACCTGGTGGCGCAGTGGTTGAGCTCTGGGTTGCAAAGCTGCCCGCAGCCTCTGCAGCGCCAGTTCGATCCCTGGCCACTGGGCGAGGGTCCCACATGGTGTGCAGACCTCTCCTGCCGCCCGCTGCTCCCCTCAGCAGTGTACTTCATCAGTCTGTCTGTTCTGCTCCCCGCTCTGGTTCTGGTGAATTCTCTCACCCTCCCGCACTTCTGACTGTGCCCAGTGCTTGTATAAATAAATAAATAAATCTTTAAAAAAAAAAAAGTGACTGGCAGGGCGTCATTCATAGATTCACTCAAAAGTATATTTGTTGAGCAATAACCAGACATTTTTCTAGGCTCTGGCACCATAAAACTTTCAGAAGTTGGCTTGGATATTAATGGAGAATCTATAAAAATAATGAATTCGAGGTCTACCTTGATTGCTAATTTACCTAATTAACATTGCATGTTAATATATTATCCTTCTAATGAAACTGCAAGATCTTTGTGGAAAGATCTTGTGGTCTAGTGAAACCTAGATAGAACTAGAATGTTCACAAGCAAACACTTTAAACATTCAACATAGCATGGAATGTAAGGATTTAAAAATAGCAGGGCTCAGTAATACAAAATTGGTAATTGTTGATGATATTTTCTCATTTTCTATCTTGTGAGTCACTATTTTTGGTTTTGGTAAGTAGTTAATAATTTTATGATGAAGGAAAACAAAAGGTGACTTAGAGTTCAAGATGTTGCCTGATGATGGGATCCATTACTGTGCATTAATCTCTCCCAGGATGTCTCATTCTTGATATCAGCTAAAATGGGACAGAGCAAAGAATTTTAGAGGATGCTTTGAGAGGAAATGCTATTTCAGCGAGGGGAAAGGACAGCGTAGGTCAGTAAGTTATATTTCCTTTGTTACGGAGAAATGACAAGTAAATTATTAGGATATTGAGAGGAAATTAAGATCACCCACATGTTAACATGAATGCTCATGAATGTAACTTCATTTGGAAGCTAGAATCTGAATATTTGAATAGATAATCAACACTGTTATTGACTCTGTAGATGATTGATGGGCAGGGAAGAAACAGGTTGCACTAGTAAAAAGTTGGATGATCTTGAGTGAGTCTTTGCCACTTTACCTGATTAGCCATCATTGATCTATAAATAGTATGCTCCTGGTAGTATGCTAATTTTTTTATTTTTTAAAATTGCTTTAAGCAATTCTTTTTTTTTAAAGATTTATTTATTTATGCATACAAGAACTGGAGTACAGCCAGAGGTGTGGGGGGTGAGAGGAACAGAGTGGGGAACAGAACAGGCAGACTGACTGAAATACACTGCCGAGGGGAGCAGCGGGCGAGTCAGGAGAGGTCTGCTGCGCCATGTGGGTTGCTCCCTGGTAGGCCAGGGGATCGAACTCATGCTGCAGAGGCTGTGGACAGCTTCATAGGTTGCGCCTTAACCCCTTGCAACACCAGGGAGGCCCCCAGTGTGGTAAATTGTTAAATAACATGCGTTATTTATTTATTTTCCCAGTCATTTTCAAAAACATTTATTGAACATTTACTATTTGCCACATTCTGGGAAAAAAGCACAGAAAAGGCCTTTGTGCTCCAAAAAGGCATTAAATAAGTAATCTAGTAATTAGAGATCATGCCAAATGCTACCAAAACCCCCAAACAAACAAATAGAATGATGAATGGCTGGAGGAATCTCCATGCAGGAGGAGATCAAGAAGAGGTAAAAGTAACACTTGAACTTTAACTTGAAAGAGAAAGAAAAGCCAACCATGCAAAGAGGCATGGAAAGAGCACGAGAGACAGAAAGAACAGCAAGTACAAAGTCCAAACATAGGAAAAGCCTTACTAGCCTTATGGAGCCAGTCATGATGAAGTTAATGAGAGAGACTGGCACTAGGGGGTTGGCAGGAAGTAGGAGTCAGACGATGCAGGGCCATTCCTTGTAGGCCTTAGTAAGGAGTTGGATTTTATTCTAAAATAGTAAGAAGCCACTTAAGGGATTTCAACAGGGATGAAAAGGTGTCATGATCTGACTTATGTTTTTAAATAAGAGAACTGTTGGATGTATAGTGAATGGATTGCGTAGCTGGAAGGGTGAAGGAAGAAACCATCAGGGAGGTAATTACATGGGGATAATTAAATGGAGTCAAGATTAATAGTGGGAGTAAATCACAGAACTTGGAGTTGGGAGTAAGAGGAGGAAAGTGAGGATGGCTCCTGGTGTCAGATGAGAGCACCTGTAGGGTGATCACCACTCACTCTTCTCCAAAGGCATCACCCTTTTCTTCTCCCTTTCCCATCTCCTGTGTCTTGTCATGGTATCAGTCAGTGTTGTTCAGAGAAGCAGAATCAGCAGGATATGTATTTATATATACAGAGAGAAAGAGATTTACTTATTTTTAAAATTAATTGTTTACATTGTTGTTCATTTTTGTATAATGTTTGATTTCTCCTCTCGATGCAATCCCTGTAAAATTCCCACCACCAAATCACCCGAGAACCATCTCTATAGTCTCTTGTGCTCCTCTTTCCCCTGTTTTGACCCTCTCCCTGCCCCTCCCCTGCTGTATGTCTCAGATTCAGTTTGCCTGTAGTTTTGTGGGTTTTTTTTTCTGACCCCTTTTTGGTTCCCCTGTGTTCCTCCTACAAGTGAAGCCATTTGATAT